CCCCAAAACCCCAAAACCCCAAAACCCCGAGGTGTGATTTGGGTGTTGAATTTAGGAAGTTAAGAGAGTTTGGGGGTTTTAGGGAGGATTTTGGGGAGGGTGGGGTTTTAGAGGGGGTTAGGGCTCTGGAAGGGTGGGATTTTAGGTGAGGGGATTTTTTTGCGGTTTTCTGAGTAGAAGTGTTCAGATTCACTAGATTTGATATCGTGGAGGGTGTTATATTTTTCTTGGGAGGAGGTTTTGCTGTGAGATCTTTGGTAAGGGGAGGAAGAATTACTGGATGGAGGCTGGAGGCTTGTTGTCAAAGTGAGGGCGAATAGAAGTGGTGATATTTTGGGAAGTTATCTATAGGATTAGTAGAAAAATACCTTTCCTGAAGAGTCACAGTGAATTTCTTCTACAAGCAAGTTAAGTAAAGACAGATACAGGAAATCTTTGTTTTATAAATAACGATGTATAAAGATTTTATGACAAATCTGGATTCTTATAAAAATGATTTTGTACCAAAGCACTCAAGCCCACATTATATCACAAAATACTCTCTCTAAATGATCAAAACTTATTTTTTTAATCTTACCAGTATTTCATATCTGTTTTCCTTTGCTATTCTGGTACTTTTATAATTATTCAATTCTACCTACATCATTTCGCCTAAGGATCTTCGCTCTCTCATTTTCTCACCCAACTAACATCTGAATCCATTTTTCCAGTTGTAACGAGTCTAGGTTCATATTAAATTGTTGACTTAAAGAAACTCCCTGTATTAGATCCAGACCCCACCCTGGCCCAATTTAAATTACGGAGAATCATATTGGGGCTAATTCTTAATAAAGTTGAGAATATTTGATAATCTACAGTCACAAGATCTAAAGTTCTGCCCAATAACCTCAATTACTTTAAACATTCTAAGGATTTCCTTAAAATATAAATAGGAAAATTATGTTTATTCAAACATAATTAGGATTAAAATATACTTCATTCATCACAATTTTCCATTTAGAGTTCAACCGAGCTAATTAAAACTGCCTTTTCGTCAGCTTTCAGAAGTAATTTCATATAAATCAATAATCTGTGCTTTGTTTGATAATAATTAAGCTAAAAGTTGGGGAAATGATTACTGACTTAAAAATTGTGTGTTGCTTAGAATAAAAATGTTTTAAAACATACTCATCTTTCACCCTGTAAATTCTGTTTTGAAATCTTTTAAAATTGGGTTTATAAAGTCCCTTATCTGCTTTGAGGGAACTTTATGTTTGTTATACAGTTGTTTCAGATAAATAGATTGTTTTGGATCCATCTACACATCAAAATAATTATGAGGAATTAGTGAGCAGATTAAATGGTTAAACTTATTGACTGAAGAGGTTTAAAAATTGGTTGAAACTATCAAGAATAGAGTATTCGTTCATATATTATTTAAGATTTTCACACAAAAGGAACATTATTATTAGTGATTGTTCATTTATCTTCGGTTTAGTTAATAGCATATCCTATCTATATAATTTTGATTTCTGATTCTAGTACATACATTTTCAAAGTCTATGATTAACTCTTTTCTTTAAAGAAAAGAGAATCTGAAAAGTTTTCTCTCACCACCTCCAACCAACTAAACAAGAAACCTCTTCTCTATAAACCACCTATCCCTCTAAACTACACGCATCTTCCCACCCATCGATCTACTCATCTCTCCTCCACCCCTTCACATCTCTCTGCTTCCCTTCAACCCCCAATCTTCCCTCCCACACAAATTCTCCACAACAACCAGCACCCATATTCCCTACAACAATATGTCTTCACCAATAGGAAAATCTTACTTCAGATTTTGAATCTTTGTAGCCCTTCTTTCTAGGCCGAGCTCCTCCGACTTTAGATTCTTCAGATTGTTTCGAAAACTGAAGATATTCAGTTGGAACTGAGAAAGATTGGGAATGTAGTTCAACGGATGATGGCTCAAGGAGGTCTATTTTTAAGAGGGAAGGTACCTGGATATGCTTTCGAAGAATCTTCGATTATTGAAACGTAGCCGAATTCTGAACTGTAGCGTTTCACTTGGGATTTTGAGGGAGGAGGTTTTTCGTCTTTTAAGTGGGCTGAGATTATGTGAGGGAGGTTTTCGATCTTTTTAAGAATTTTTATGTGGCTTTTTGTGATTTTCTTTTTGAAATTTTCGTCCTATTATTTTATGTAAGATGTTTGATGGAAGAAGTAGTTGTTTTATATATAGTAAATCTATTATCAGAAACATTTATCTTCTTTGAAAATAACATCAAGCAAATCATACCAGATAGTCATCATGTTGAATTCCAACTTCTTTGACACTTTGTGAGTTTGATTTATATACTCTCTTTTCTCTCAGCTCAATTTTCTCAATTTCCCAGTTCAATTCCTCATTCTTAATCTGGTTCTTGACGATCTCCTTTTGCAATTGTTCAAATCCTTTAAGTCAATCGAATTTTTCAATAAAGTAAAAGTTCAATAATGTTAACTGATTTATAACTTCTTTTAGCTTTCGGTTCTTCAGTTTTCAAAGACCTCATTTGGATGTAAGAATTCTCCTTGACGAAGATTCTCTCAAATTTTCACCTGTAAATGGTTAGGAAGGAAATATACTGTAGTTTCTTGGTACAGGATTTCTAGAGACCGATCCATCTAGTCTGCCATTAACAAATGACCCAAATGAATTTGTGTCTTTATTTTCAGTCTAAGCAAAAGATCATAGATAAGTTTTGGCTGAAGAAGTAAATTGTTCAAGCAGTTTCATTTTATATTCAGGTCAATGCCTTTAAGAGTTATACAATCTCAGAATTTTCTGCACAATATTTGCTCATAGATAAGCACTTAAACTTGCAAATGTTTCTTGATAAATTTGATATGAAAGAGCAAATAAATAATTGTAACAGCTCTAAACAAAGTATCTGAATGGCTGTATTTCTTGTGCTGAGAAGTAATATGTGTTAATTTATTAAAGTTTAAATACCTTGACCGGACTTGAACCAACATGGTCAAAATCTATAAAGAAGTTTAGATTGATCAAATCAGCAGGGGTTGGTGTTTTACTTACTTGTAACACTAATTTTGCCAAAATTTAAGCTGGATAATGTTGAAAATTTGGAGCGATCATTTGTAGACTATTTGTGAGCAAGGAGTTTACTGTCATGGTACTTGAGAGGATTTTAGTAGGTGATTTAGAGGTTCTTATAGGTGCCATTGGGATCCCTTTCTTTTTTAATATTTTAAATTTTGATTTTCTAAATATTAATAGTAATGAATCGTAGAAATATAAATTTATCAAAAATAATAAACAATAAAAAACTCCAAAAATCCATCATTCTTTCTCCAAAATGCACTCTCCCTCCCCACAGAATCACTACAAATTAACCTATACCAACCCTCTGTCGCTTCTCTTAACCCCATCACCACCCCTAATCCTACCTCCTCCTAAACCCCACCTTCCAAACCCCAACCCCCAAATCTCCTACATAAACAAACTGAGCCCTAAATTTTCAACCCCAGCCTAAACTCCTCCAATCCCACTCATCCCCCTCACCCTCTCTCCTACTCCTTCTAAACTCCCTTCTCGACTAAATCCAGCCCTCGTAGCCCAAATCTTTAAAAATTGCTAAAATTTCCTAAAATTTCTCTACCAGAGGGAGGTTTGTTTACGGTGTAATATAGCTGGAAGTTCTGGAATAATTTTTGGGTAAGACTAGGTTTAGAGGGATTTGGTAGGGAAGGAGTGGAGTGGTGTGATTGTGGTGAGGGACGGGATGACTGGTTGGTGGAGGGAAGGGAAAAGGGAGGTACCTAACTTTGCCTTTGAGTTTGATCGTCTTGCATCCCTGAATCTAAAGATTAGAGCTCGGCTTACTTGAACGGGATTTGGGAGTGGTGGATTAAGCAAGTTTTTAGAATTTTTTCTTTGCTTTAAGGTCTGAGAGAAGCTATAGAAATTAGAAAAAGTTAACAAGAGACTTTAAGTAATCTTGAGCTAAGAAAAAGAGATAAATATCAATTTAAAAAATAAAAGCCAAAAGCCCATCCAAATTTCTAATAAATTACCCCCACACTCCCCCTCTAGTCCCCTAAACCTCCCTTTCCCCAATCTTCCCTATCCAAAGCCCCTCTCCCTTACCTTCTTCCCACCCTGCCCCTCCAAGCCCCACTCACAATCCAGAAGTAATCACGACCAAAATCCTTCCAAGAAGGATCCCAGATTTTAGAAAGAAATTAGCTGGAATATTATAAATAAGGGATTTTGAAAAGAAGGAATTTGGCTGTAGAACAAATTGATGAGAAATGGAAAGAATGGTGGCTAGGAAGGGGTGGTAGTGAGGTTAAGAAGTGTGATTTGGGGATTTAGAGGTTGCTGATGGTAGTCTTTATTGTGAGCAGTAAGCCAGAATTGAAGAATATGAGGATTTTTTGTGAAAATTTTTAATTTAGCGGAAGATTTTCTTGGTTGAGATACAAGGTTTAAATATAATTACTTTTTATCAATAAATCTTAATACTACTAGTAATTATATCTAAAAGCTAGTGGTTCTAATATTTTCTTCCGCTTATCCAAAAATTTCAGTAAACAAATTGAATGTCCCATTCCATTCACCAAACTCCACCCTCCAAACTCTAACCTCTAAACCCCAATACCCAACCCTCTCCAATCACCCACCAATCCCACTCCCCCTCTTCCCCTATCTCCACCATCCACCCTCCTCAACCCCTAAATTCCCCCTCTTCACCCCCAAACCCTCATCCTCACAGTCAAAATCTCCCTTCACCCCACTCCTAAATCCCCAAAATCCCTAATCCTCCTAAAACCCCCACGACCAAAAATAGCCCCTTACCTGTTGTACATAACCCTTGTCTTCTGCTGTAGGATATTTATTTTCAATTATGAAATCCCTTCATGGGGTTTTGGGGTTTTGGGGTTTTGGGGTTTTGGGG